TCTGCGTGCATGTCTCCGTGAGCACCGACACAAACACGTTGCCCAGTGCCCGGGTCGAGCGGACCTCCGGCCTTCCTTCTATCCGACCAAACACTCTGAAAGACGGGTATTTGGGAGGCTGGGGGCGGCAAGGAGTTAAAGGAGGGAGTTGTTTCCCTTTCTGGCTCTTCGTCCAGCCTGCTGCTGCTGTAGAACCCCCATAGAAACGAGACTGCAAAGCAAATGGCAGAGCAGGAGCAGCAGCCGTTAACCGAGCTGGACGCGCCGGTGGATGAGCGGTCGAGAACCGGGAGAGCGGTGTCTCTGGCCCGGTTACTTCACCTGGAATGTACCAATCTGCTCCAACTCTATGTGAGTTGTCCGCTTGTCTTGTTATATGTAGCTCTAAAGGCGGCGATACGCGCTTTGTTTTCCGTTATTTGTGTCTTTAATGCGACAATGTTTTGGCACGCAGGGCTAGCTACCTGTCACGATAACATGGGACTGGTGGGATATATTAGACACGATACATTTTAATGACAGCTTTAATAGTTACACTTCACATTTACTGCATTCATTTATAAATATGTTTTTTTTCTCTATAAATACTGCAATTTTTTGTTCATTCATTTCGCATTGTAAAGTCTATGGTTTTGTGCGTATGAAAGAGAGTAATCATAGTAATCATACTAATAGAACCCCACCACCACCACCACCACCACTCCACCTTCTCCCCAAGGCCCACTAATGGATAGAGTGCAGTTTTGTCTCTGTCATGCCTCTGTGTCTCATCTTCCTCTTAATTCATCATTTAATTGATCAAAACAATCAATCAATCAATATATATATATATATTTATTTCATTGTGCTGACTATTTTACTGTCAACAGATGCAAGGCCAGCAGCAAATTGCATCTGTGCATTGGCAGGCAGCGTCAGAATTTATGATGTGTCTTGCTCATTCTGTCCAGAAAGAAAGAGAGACCTTCTTGTTGGACCACACCCCAGGTGGTGAGCGCATCGTGACCTTGTCCCCAGACTCAGAGGAGCCCAGCACGGAAGAGAAGGTGCATTTGCTGCATTTGGCTCTGCGGCAGTGCCTGGGGCTTCTCCACTGTGTCATCCAGAAGGAACAGGAAGAATGGGGTGAACTGGAGGCTGACTACGAGACCCTGAAGCAAAGCGTCTGTGTCCGACTGCAGCACTTGCTCCACACCACCAAAGATCTGTTGCAGTCTTGGACTGTGGAAGTCACTCCTGACCACCAGTGTACTGAGGTGACTGAGTAGTTATTTTGAGGGTACAGTCCTCTCATGTTATGACAAGATGCTGAATTTGTGAAATGTGACCTTTTATGATCCAGTAACGTATACTAAAAACTATGAACTAACTATGAACTTTTTCTCTATGTTGCAAAAAGTATTAAGTCGTTATATATAAAAGCCTATTGAAAACTTCAGAAAAACTTAAAGTAAGACAGTTGACAAAGTTAAGTTTCATTCATTTATTATAGTTAGCATAAAATATTAATTAGAATCATTTTTTATCTGTGCATGCAGCATAGGAAACCCACAGAGCTTGGAGGCTGATACTGAGATAACGTTCGAATTTTTGTGTCTTCTGCACCCATCCCCAAAGTTAGTGGAAAGTGGTTGCAGTTTTCCTGTAAACATTGTTTCATACATTATCCTTCTGTAGTCGTTGTGATCATCTTGGCTGTTCTCTGAACCAAGAACACATGGTCGCTTGGACTGTGAGAACCAGGAGTTAAATCTTGACAATTCTGGCATTTGACATTGATTCATATTAATATTATTTTGTATTATTATCTTGTATTATATCTATGAACCAAATTTCTGACAGACATTTGTCTAGCCTCAGGTTTCTTTATTTCTAACCCTTTTTGTTTAGGCCTTAAAAATATATGTTATTACCCTAGGTATCAACTATCTACCTGCAGTACATGCTATAAGAAAGTTATTATTTTGGTTTCTTTTCTGGAGTACCAGATCAGTAATGAGATCATGTAATAAATAGCATGTGATGCTAACTTGCTCTTTTCCGTGTAGGAAACGGATGGTCCAGGGGGAGCCTTCGGGCTGAAAATGTGGACCTATCGTGTTCTGCTGGAGCTCATTCACTGGGCAGGCCACGCAACGCAGACCCTTCACCTCCTACACAAAGAGAGAGTAGGAGCAGAGGAGGTCTAAATCGATTTTGCCCATGTTCAACGGCCTCCGTGGACAAACTCACGTAACACTAACAGCCAGCTTTGTATTTTACATGTTTCAAATAAAATACTAGGTAAGTTTAAAGATTGTCTGTGTACATCAGAGCTTTAAGGTTTATATGTTTCCCTGAAATTACAACTAAGCCTATTTAACAAAGCCTAGTAAGCCGCTTTCCCCCCAGACATTGGTATTTCCCCAGCAAGTGCTAAAATGACCTCCGGTTTGCCGCAGTTGCTGTTTCCTTTGACACAGACGTGAACGCAGACTCACTTCAAATGTGGTGAGTCTGCGCTTTGCCACGGCTGGGTCTGCTTTGTGAAGAGTTTGGAAATGTATTCTTTTGTAAACAGTTCGTAATTTATTTTTTATTTATGTAGGTCACTGTATTTATGCTGTACATAACACTCCAGAATCTACTAACTGCTAGAATGTAGCCAAAAATACACGACTGTTAAACTGTGACTCATGTGCAGCTAAACTTGTTTGCTATTTTCTTCGGTTACTTTGCTCGTAATGTAACCGCTTGTTAACATATCTAACCAGATGTGATTCCAAATCAATATTCACGTTTTCATATATGGTGGCTAAAATGTCGGTATTGTTAATGGTTTGAAACAATCTGTGATGAATCGTCTTATTTGCTGCTCTGCTCATGAAGATCTCTACTGATCTGATACTTGAATGTCCTGCTACACTGTTGACAAGTTGGAACTCATACGTTTGTGGTTCTACATTATTTTCTGCTCTTTCCTTTTCAGTGAGAATGTTAACGAACTATCTATATTAGACTAAACAGGACAAAACTGCCTGTAGTCAACCGTTTCAACTGCTCTGCACCACAACAACTTCACTGCAGTGTCAAACGCATAGCACAGCACACACAAGTGGGCTGTGACTGCCAGTCTTGCTATTACGGTGAATTTCTGAACGCTGTGCTTTTCTTTTATCCTATGAGAAATAACTGGATGTGTATTGAAGATTAAAACACAGTTTTAACCATTGGCTTTTGTTGACTATCATTGTTTTCTGCCATTGACAGATCTGTTTGGGATTTCCATTATGTCAGATCAGTGGTTCCCAAACTTTTCCTGCAGCACTTACTTTTGTTGATGGGAATATTCTTAAGACTCCCCTAACCCCTCCTAAACATAGACAGAAACAAAATCACCCATTGCATCTACTATAGCTATTGCTTAGTAGATGCCATACTATAGCTAACTCCAGTGAACTTAATTTAAATACTGTTATTCCTGAAAACTGATATTCTGACTGATATTATCATCTCAACAGTCTCACTTAGACTTCTTTTTCCTATCTGTTAAAACAGATACTTCACACTTGTTTTCTCTTTTGGAAGTGATTTTAATGTTTATTGCAGTGATTCCTTACCACTGCTAATGTGCCTAAAGACAGGAATAACGGTGGAAATTATTAACTTTCATCTACTGGCCGAAGATTATTATTTATTTAACGCAAATAATTTGCCTTGTATGGGGCAGTTTAAGGTGCAACAATTAAAAACTCCTCCACTGGGTGGCGGCAGATGACCTTAAAAAAAAAAGACGAGCGCTATTGAAGGTTTGTATATGACTTCAATCCCTGCAAGTATCAGCATAGTGTTCAATTAAACAGGCCCAGGTTTCAACAAAGTAAGTTTTGAGTAAAACCAGAAGATTAAATACTATTAAATACTAAATTCTATATTTTTGTCACATTTTCTTTGGTTTCAAATGTAAAATGTGTGCTGTGGATCAGAAAATGTTTAGAAACACTGGTTTACTGAATGCACAAAATGGTGAGAAACACATATGGCAGTAATGCAGGACTTCAGTGGTATTTGCCTTTAAGTAGAAAGTGGGACAGTATACTACAGTAACTTTTTTCCATTTTTTATATGTCAGATTTCCGCAAAATACAAAGGTGAATTTTTCTGTTCAGTGAGAACCATTGCTCACCTCACATTGGAGTTTTGTTATGTAAAAGGACATATAGTAACCTGAAGTTATCATTTAAACACAAACAGTATGTTTCTTGTCTATTAGTAAAATATAATGGAATCCAAAAGAGACGATTTTCTGCTGGTGTAAAGAAAACTAGGCTCGCGTTTAGATGAGTATTTACTCCGAAAACTAATAAAAACTAAAAAAAAAGTTTGATTCTTTCCATTTTTTGGTTAAAAATATGTAACATAGAATATCAATCGAACGATACACCTAAACACCTTAGTGCCTGTGTGATAATGGTGCTGTTCAGAGATGGATGCTCCCCATTTTACTATGAGAACCCCTCAAGGATGTTGTGCGCATGCGTGTTGAGCAATCTACCGGAGCGCCAGAGGTAGGGAAGGCAGCTCTAATGGCGGAGAATGTGCGCTCGCCTTTTGACTACCGGGAGCCACCGACCCTGGACAGTGACGGGGATGGAAGCAAGCCGCCACCGCCGCGGGGGTGAGTGAGAATGTTGGGCGGCCCTCTCTGTGTGTCCGTCTATTCGTCCTCGTTTTCACCGGATATTTCTTCCGAACAAAAAGACAAGAGACTGAAACGCACGCGCCGGCGCAAGCGTGCGCGTTTGTTTGGTTCGCATTAAAAGCCTTTATTGGCGTGCATGTTCCCAGCGTTTCAATGCACAAAAACCCGGGACTACAGATATTTTGGGGTTTTATAGTTTTGCAACCCCTTTACCTCCTTAGGTCGGACCTCCCTCGCACGTTTCGCTTCGCCAGCATTTCATTTTCTGAATTTTTGACGGAGCAGTCGTTAGCTGTTAGGAGCTAACAGGCTAGCTAAGACTACAGCTCTGATGTTAGCATGCACCCGTTAAAAATGATCTTATTATGAGGGTTTGATCGATGGTTTTCCTTTACTTATCGATAACTGCAGCTGATCGCTGTTATCAAATACTGTATATGCATTGACATACCATTATTTGGTCTCATGCCTGACAGCCGATCTGGTGCAGATCTTGCAGGGTTGTATGCTCTAAATGTCAACAGATACGGTGAAGAAAATTTTCGATTTTTAAGCCTCCGTCTTTTTTATATCAGCAAACATAATTAGCAAAGCGAGTGGTAGTGGATCAAAAAAAAAAAATCAAGTGAATTCATTCTAAATAAAATTCCATTAAGACATCTAGACCGTAGATCATTTAGCAGAAATGGATGGATCTATGCTACTGCAAGTGTTATGTTGTGAAAGTCAGCTGGCAGTCTTCCACCTAACTCAAAATCAACGATAAATCAGTTATTTCACCATAATAACACAATTAATAATATTTTGTGAGAATTTCAGATATTCTCAAATGAAACCCAAATCGGTCAACAGTATTTTACCTTGTAATACCTAGCCCACTATATATGTTATAGACAGATTGGCTATTCTGCAGAGCTGCACAACAAAAATAATCTGCTAGTTATACAAAAAGTCCCCATTTCTGAGATATTAATTTTTCCTTTGTAAATACAAAAAGTTTGTCTTTTGCATTTATTATCAATTCCTAGCCCCCCCCCCCCCCCCCCCCCCACCCCCACCCACACACCCCCCCCCCCCCCTTTCTTTCTGA